ACAGCCGCGTATCATGAATGTGTTTTGTCTATAATTTGTGTGAGCTATGGGAATGTGAAGCAACGGGCGACGCCGCAAAGTCAATGAGTTAGTACGGAGACCGATTTTAGACAATAATTCCGGACAGTCAATGCCAGCATTAGCCAATTTGGATAGAAAACAAAGATCATTCACTTCACGACGCACTTGAAGAGGCAGAAAATGATACCGCTTGCAACGGTGTTCGTAATCCACGGACTGTCGTCTGGTCTTAAAATCAAGAAATCGCAAAAATCTTTTTTGTATATTCTCTAATCGCGTGATATAGATGTTGTATTGGGGATTCCATACACAGGAAGCGTACTCAAGATGACTACGCACGAAGGCGCAGTACAAAACTTTAATAGTTTTCAAAGATTTCAAATCGTTGGACATACGGATAACGAACCCGAGGGCCTTTGAAGCCTTACTTGCAATATGATCAATATGATCTTTAAAGATTAATTTACTATCATGTACGACACCCAAATCCTTAATATTATTGACTCTAGTTAAATTGTGATTATGGAGTATATATTTAGATTCTGTTTTGTTATTTTTACGAGAGAAAGTCATACAGAAGCACTTAGTTACATTTAGGTCTAATTTATTCGTAATGCAATATTGTTCGAACCGCAAGAGATCTTCCTGCAGATCACGGATATCAGATGAATTGTTGATAACCTTTAGGATTTTCATATCATCTGCGAAAAGTACAGATTTTGAATAACGAAAGCATTTGTTAATGTCCATTATGAAAATAATAAATAAAAGTGGACCCAAAATTGACCCCTGGGGTACACCAGAAGGTATCTTAGTCCACTGTGACAAAAAAACCCCGTAAGACTACAGCCTGATTACGATTATCAATATAGGACGCAAACCAACGATACAAGTTACCATGTATACCTGCTGCTTGAAGTTTAGAAAGCAATATACAATGGTCTATTCGGTCAAAACATTTTTTGTAATCAGTGTATACTACATCAACCTGTGCTCCTCTTTCCATCCCACTAGTAATGAAATCGTTTGCAATAATCAGGTTTGAGGATGTGGAACGTTGTCTAAGAAAACCATGTTGATCGTCACTAAATGAATTTTGTAAACTAGAATAAACTTCTATATAAACTAACCTTTCCAATACCTTGGCAAATAGACACAATTTGGATATGGGACGATAGTTTTCCACATTACATCTATTCCCTTTCTTATGGACCAGTGTGATGAAGGCAGATTTCCACAGTTTAGGTACAATTCCCTCAGACAATGATCGCCCGTACAACAGACTCAATGGAACCGCCAAACTTTCGGCACATTTTACAATTAAAAGTGGAGGAATCAAATCAGGTCCCATCGACTTTGTTAAATCGAGTGATTTTAAAAGATCATGTACCTTGATTGCATTAATTTGAATATCGCCTATGCTACATAGAACGTTATCGTAGTTCATGTTGACAGTGCAACACGTCGATTGGCCAGTCACCAAGAAATATATGACGAGTAACAAGAGATATATGACGAGTGGCGCGGTCGTCAATCGAGACCGCTAGGGCTGGCTTTGCTAACAAAATATAATTTAATATTATATAGTCAAAAATGGCATAACGTTCAATTTTAATTTATATGTAACAAATAATCACCTGGGGGATTTCTTTTTTACAGCGGTCTGATTGTCCTTATTCGGCGCCGAGATAACATCAGGAATACTGCAATAGAGAATTAAACAAACATGTAAGAAAGTTTATCTCTTAATCCACAGTTGTTAAACCAATCGACTGACTGGTCAACATCACGCAAACTTAAACCAATAGAATTATAATATAATCATTATAGACATTTAGGATCTATTTACGTTGTCGCAAAATGCAATGGTTGCGAATTTTTTAACAACAGCTTAAGAGTCAAAACGACCTCAAATCAAATTAAAATTTATCCCGTACTAATACGGCCCATTTTGCTTCGGTCGAGCGACAGGGATACGGGTTTTATTTCAGAATTATTTTTTTACAGACGAAGCTAAAGCCATATGGAGTGTGTTAGTAGGTATACAAGAACTTGATACACAATCATTCGGTGCAGGAATTCACACCTTTTGATGCAATTCTTACCTCACACCAGCAGTCTTTCCCTTCTTCTCGTTGCGATGCAGCGGTTCAAGGGAATACATTGATAATTTCTCCATACCTGTAAATAGAATAATAAATTGAATAAGTCATGGAAGAGCATTGACGTACAATTATATGGACGTCGGGTCCGCGCTAAAAAGTGTCCGCACTTGTAAGGCCCTAAAATCGTATACAGAGCGCCAAACTCCGCTTTAGTCTTAATTTGTTCTACTGACAGCGCGATACTGCGATGACATTACAATTTAAATTTCGAATAGGTTGACTTGGGACATTTTTTTCGTGGTTTTTGTATTAGACCCGTCGTCCATTTATTTGTAAGTCAATGTGGAAGAGCAACAATGGTATTTAATATTATGAAGCCAAAGCAAGTCAAGCAAGAAGTGTTAAATTGGACTAAGTTTAGTGGTCCTCAATCAGAAACCCTCTCCAGAGTTTTTTCTGTTTGTGACTCTAGAACGTTTCTTCAAATATTAACTTTAGATTTATACACTTAAGGTAACTATTTATTGATTATTTACACCCTGCATATTTGAAAGACTCACAATATTAATAATAAATATGAAACTTATTTGAAACCGATGTTTCAGTTCTAAAGTTTAGACCGTCTCTTTGTCTCTTTCTAGGGAGTCTGTCACGGATTGTACGGCCGGCAGCAAGCTAAACATTGAAGGATCTAGTTTCGTCGCTGTGGAGGCGATATTCGAAGAAAAGTCTATGGCTTGATGTGCTATTGACTGTACTTTAAGGAATGTTCTTTTATACTTACCAGCTTTTAGTATAGTTTTCGATCCACCCACTGCGCCAGAACTCTTCTTCGTGTTAGGTTTGGATTTCTTGGAACGCAGATTATTCTGGAAAAGAATTTCTCATAATTATGACATGTGTATAATGTTATTGGTGACTTTCAATGAAAGTACTTCTATCTACTAAACATATAGCATTTCTTATTGCGCTTACATTATACTCTCTAGTTAAAAATCTGGCTATAGTAATATCTACTGGATATAGATAATAATAACACACATAATAACACAGTTTTATTTGCGTCGATTTCGTGCGCCATGTAAGCCGAGTTGCAAGCACTAACGATGCGAGCAGTTTCTTTCTTTGTTAGTTTTACCTGTCTAGCACATTCTCTGAGGAAATAGGGGGAGGTGAACTAGACACTCACGCTCCATCACATATACACACATACACACACATATACTTACACAGACCTATACACGACAATTGATATCAGTAAATTACAGTTAGTTATGAACTCAGTTTTTATTGTACCAATTTAAATTTATTTTTCTACCCAATGTTGTAATAATAATATCACATATTTTGTATACATAGTGAGTTTCTGTAATTGGCTTTTGTACTGCTTAAACACATTTGTCAAATAAGTTTAACAATGCTGTTGAAACTTTGTTCATTGAATAAATAAATAAATAAATAAAAATAAGACAACATCACAACGTTGCTCCGATCCCAAAGTAAGTAACTAAAGCGCTTGTGTTACGGAAATCGAATACAACGACGGTACCACAAACACCCAGACTCGAGACAACATAGAAAAGTACTCAGAAATGGCGACACCAAAAAAAAAAGAAAAGTGGTGTCCAAGCCATTCGCCCACGGACATGGTCAAATATCACAGAACAATAAATACAGTAGAAGCGTCCAACTCACGCCAGTTATAAGTCTCGAAAGACCTATTTGAGCTCAGTCCGCCATTTTCGCTTTGTATGGTATGGTTGTGTCATCCTTTCGTGCAAATTCGCTAAAATTCTAGAAAATACCTTATTGTGCTATTTGGGAGTGCAAAAATGATAGCCAAACCAAAAATATTAACCATGGTGGTATTTCATATCATCGGAAAGTCTTACTTTAATAAAAATTCAATTTTCTGTTTGTCGAAATAATTTTTTTGTTACAAGAAACGAAAGTAGAGCTTATACCCCTGCAATATGGTCGCTTGTTTTTTGGAGAACTAAATTAATAACTCCAATTCGTCGTCGTTCAGCAATTAACCGCTAGATGGCAGCACATTGATTGAAATTTCAATATAATATCAAAACATCGGAACTTGCAATAATATGTATTGATGGTATTGAGCTTTCAACGATATGCCAACAGGGTAAAGTTTAAATTATATTAACAAGCCATAATTTGTTATTTGTATGTCAAGATTTTGTAGTGTTTCAAATTATGAATGTGTGGGTTTTGGCGACATCGGTTCCGGTAGTAAACGAGGTTTAAGGCACTCCATTATTTCTTTTCTTCCGTGTCAAATATAGATAGCTGTATAAGTCGTCAACTTACCAGTGCTTGGTGTTGTGCGAGTACTTGTGAGGCGCGCGACTGGTAGCTAGTTACCGTAGAATCCAGTCTGCAGCTCATAGCGGCAAGCTCCTGGAGATAACAACAATCGTCACTATCTTGAATACATAAAACGTACTTTGAACGCACTACTGAACCCGCATTTTGTGACCGTCAGGTGGCTGGTCGCCTGTCGCATCTGGCACTGAGTGTATATACATTGACTTACAAATAAATGGACGACGGGTCTAATACAAAAACCACGAAAAAAATGTCCCAAGTCGACCTATTCGAAATTTAAATTGTAATGTCATCGCAGTATCGCGCTGTCAGTCGAACAAATGAAGACTAAAGCGGAGTTTGGCGCTCTGTATACGATTTTAGCGCCTTACAAGTGCGGACACTTTTTAGCGCGGACCCGACGTCCATATAATTGTAAGTCAATGGTATATATTCAAGAATTGCTACCTTTTCTAAATAATTGCTACCTTTGATATTCTGAGAAATTAAAAATAATAATTGACCAGTCTGCCTTAAGGATGGCTGGTCGCCACTTTGTTCAGCATGAAGGGAGCAGATTTTTGAGAAGTATGTATTACCAATAATCGCTACCTATTTGTTACTTTCACGACTTAAAGGTATACGCTTCTTATCTACATTAGTTTATATTGTATAACCGATTGAAAATTTTACGAAGAAGTCCCAACGCCTGCGACTGCGAATACGATGCGAATAAAGCTTCATAACTGATTATTGTCTTTTGGTTTGGATAATAAATAGACTGGAGTTCGAGTCTATTATGTAACGAATCCAGCTAGAGTCTGGTATGTATGTTGTGGCTTGGTGTACGAGTATTAAACTGAAGTACCATTACTGTACAAATAAACTAACTTTCGTAAAAAAAATTCGGGGGCAATAGTCTGTTAAATAGAACCCTGCTTGCCGTACTCGAGACTTTGTACAGTAGATAATAGCATCGAGTCGAGTTTTCAACCTCGAGTATTGTTCAAAACTCGATTTAGGTCTGACGTGTCGTGTCGTGATGCGTCAGAACAATATCGGTTTCATATATTTAATACGGTTAGATTCATATTGTTATGTCGTAATCTGACACGACGGTTTGTGTTGTGTCGCATCAGAAGCGATCCCGATCTGCGTCAGGAAGGACGAGGTGGGGGGCAGCGGAGCGGCCGTGTCACTTCAGTTCTGATAAGTGTACACGCACCAGTGCTGTGTCGTGACGCGTCAGAGCCGAATAGAGACATTCAAAAATATTTATGAAATCTTTCATCATCGCTCTCAAGCTCTTTAAGGAGACAGTGAAACTCGCCTTTAGCCTCTCTTTTTTAATTCACCGGATGATCCCAATATGTTCTGTTTTCTTCTTTCTTTTCTTTTAGTATAGTTGACATCATCACAAATTGAATATTTCATAATCTGAAATAGAATTGGATGATTCAAGAGAAAACATTGCGAACGTATTGTGACGGTGTGACCTCCTTACATCGTCATCCCACCTTTTTATCGCGTTTTTTCCGGTTCCTGGCCACTCGTATTTAAATTTTGAATTGATCCATAGTTCTTTTGCCTCGTATTCTGATTTTGTTTCGTTCCAGGCACTCCCTGGTCTTAAAATTCAATCAGCTGTTAAAATTCAATCGCGCTAATTTTGATTCCTTAAGTTTATAATCATTACTAATCTAAATCATGTGCCAATTTTAATAAGTTTATAATCACTACAGCCTTTATCATGTACCTATGAACACGTATCTGTAATTCAGTATAACCCTTTTGGGGTAAATGTCTACTAACTACTACTAATATTCATCAAGTTAGGATGTGTTTTGTAATAATGTACCTGTTATATTTATATACCTTTTATTGTCACAGACTTCTTTTGTTACCTTTTCTTCTCCTTAACCGACTTGAAATAAATTTGTGGATCTGAAGTTTTCTGTTTTACTGCCGTGAACCTTATCACGGCTTGTTAGGGTTACAACCCTTTCAGTATGAACTCTTCGAGAGCTACGATGGTATTGATTCCAAATATCGTCAGAAAGCGTCAGAACACGACATATAGATGTGAACGCTATCCATGACGTCAGAGCGCTTCACGATACGTCACGTCAGACAAATATAAATGCGGCTTTAGACTCAAGTTCGTGCTCTGATGACTCGCGCTCGACTCATTCGGACTCGTGATTGTTTTAGGCCACTCAGCCGTGCAAAATTAAGTCGAGTTTATAAATTTAGACTCCCGGACTAGAGTTTTTTAGTTTTTTTTTCACTTGATGAAACCTGCCTGTTGAAGTTTCGTTTAAATAATAGCGAAAAATTCATGTTTTTAAATAGCATGTCGCCTAAAGGTTAGGTCAAAAGTACCAAAAATAAACGGGCGCGTATAAAATGGCTGTTGCTAGTAGAGGTCATGCGTGAGGTTTATATCCTACATGGTGGTATATCTACCAGCGTATCGCCTAATTATCTGAAATACACGTTACCTTACTTGGGACGTTAATTAGTTACTTGGGAAGCAAAAACTGTTTTGTAACCGACTTCAAAAAAAGAAGGGGTTGTAATTAGGTTTACTGAATGTCAGTGTTTCGTCGTGTTGGTCGATTCAGAACCTTACGATAACTACGTTGTCGACCGATTCGATTTGATATCGTACGATTGCTATTCGTAACGTACTTGTAACCTACGTCCTCTGGCAATCCGTGCCAGTCGCCATGCCAACTAAGTCACGAAACGAACCAGCGGACCATACAAATTTTTCTGTGTACTTGTTGCAGACCTTTGGTGAAACACCCTTATTTACTCCGCTGGCTCAGCAACCCAATACGTGTCCCGGCCTCCGAAACGAGATGATGCCACTTTCTTAGGTCCTGTGCAATCTCTCGCCAATTGATGGCTTGTAATTCGCACAGCAGGTTCGGATTCTTCGATTCAGAACCTTACGACAACTCTGTTGTCGACCGATTCGATTAGATAATACGACTATTCGAAACTAAACCGAAATGACGTCACACCCGTACGATTACTCGAATTTCTCGACCGGCAAAGGCTACAAACGTTATTCAGAACGCAGTTATCGAATGAAAATTACTGAACGCCCTAATGTTTACAAAACGAGAATGTAATACGGAAATCTCTTATTATTTTAAATAAAGTCTGGATTTTGTTCAATTTCATAAAATTATTTTAATGCAGTACTAATGCATTCCTATATTTTAGGCCTTTAAAGTCTTAAAAATGTATATAAAAAGATTTTCATTTTTCCTATAATTTATTACACCGACTAACTCCGTAAACGCTGTTGGACAACGATATCGTATCCGAATCCGAATCGAACGTCTAGCTCGAATGTTGCAGATCTTTGTACACAGAAAAATTTGTAAGGTCCGCTGGTTCGTTTCGAGACTTAGTTGGCATAGCGACAGGCACAGATTGCCAGAGGACGTAGGTTACAAGTACGTTACAGTCCAGCTGGACCGAAGGATTTTTTTCTTAGTGGTTGATCTTTGTATTAATAATTATAATAACAAACTAAAGAAGAGGTTCACAATTCGACGGTACATTTAGTGTGTATGTTTGTTGCGTGATTACTCCGGCTCCGTGATTATTTGTGAACCAATTTCCATGCTTCTTTTTTGTTAAAACGGGTTTCTTAATAGTGGATTCATTCAGATTTGAACAAAATATGCCATCTCTAAGGGTGGCAAATTAGGGGATGGATCCAATTTTGATTTCACCCACTTTCCGCTAACCAATTTCAATAAAACTTAGCGAATAGACGTAAGTGTCATTTTCCACTAAGCGACCAAGACTAGCCTCTTAGTGGAAAATGCGTATAATTCCCCAAAGCTTCGTCGAACGGCCGGCCTAGAGCAGGAACAGCTTTAGAGCTCACGTCGTCGAAGAGGTCCTTGGCGGCGCTGAAGCCGTGCGGGGCGACGACGGCGGCGCAGGCGTCGTGGCCGTCGCGCACGGCGCCCGCCAGCGCCTGCAGCTGCTCCGCCGCCTGCTTCAGGCACAGCGTCTGCTCCAGCGACTTGTGGAACACCTGCACACGGCCGGAAACCGCTAAGGGCTTTGCGTGAGTCCGCTTAACAGTGACTGATGAATCAATCACTGTGGAGAAAATGTGTAGTAAAATTGAGGATATACGCTGATTACTAAAATTTCCACGATAGAAAAACACAAACTTCCTTCGAGATTTTACAACAAAACAGCTGTATTCGTTATGCACTTTACATATACCAATGATTTTTTTTTATATCAACTGAACTAAATATAACATGTATATACGATACGATATACATTTTTCAAATGGCTTCAATTTCAGATTTTAAGACTTTCGTGGTTATTCACTAAATGATTATCACTAATATCAGGCTTCTTACCACGGTATAACTTCTTTTTATTTTCCCGATATTTCGGAACGGTTGCACGCTCCATGGTCACGGGTTGACTGGACGGCGGCAGATGACAGCTTTATGAGCAGACATATCTGTCTACCCTCTTGCGCTGTCGACGACTACCTTCATCGCGATTTGTTGTGGCGTTACCATTGTCACTCACTTTTTTCACACAAACCGTGTTCCCGAAATATCGGGAAAATAAAAAGAAGTCATACCGTGGTAAGAAACCTGATATTAGTGATAATCATCTGGCTTCAATTTCGTTTGTAAAAAAATAAACTCTGAAATAAAAACATCAATCATCAATATTCAACATTTTAAAGCCATTTCAGGTTGTATACTTTTAATGATTTGTGAAGCGTGCTGATGTTCAATTACAATATTTGCATTGCGAGCATTTATTAAGGCGCAAAAGATTTTGCGTACCGCCATGAGTATTGAAATAGTGGGAACAAACCTGAAAGGCCTGTAAAGTGTTTTGATGTAGTCCGACAACGCGGACCATCTGAGCCTGGAACTGGGTGTGTTGCGCGTACGGCAGCGATTGGTAGTTGTGCCGATTGATGTCATGGATCTGGAATTTATGGTCACACATACTTCTTGCTCATATACCCTAGTTGGCTACGCTTCGGCCTTGAACGAACCATTTAAAAGTGAGCAATACGTCTCGTTACATAAACTTTACATTAAAAAAACGTAAAAAGGGGCAGCGAGATAACAACATACTTTGTTTTGTTATTTGTAGATTAAAGACCTGCTTGAAATCCAGTTTTGAATATTTAGGAATTACTGAGCGTCTCTGAGCAAGTAAAACCTTAGTAGGTAAAGTATCTCCGATGCGTGCCTCCGACTCGTAACTTACGACTGGGTGGCTGACGCGTACCATGTATCAGGATATCAGCCGATGCTGTCTACTGCGCAACAAAAACTAAGCACAATTATATTTGGACAAACCCCACGATTTGTAGATAAGTCCTGGAAGATTTTTCGACAACGCCGTCCCACCCCGAAAACTAAAGTGACCAATAGTCCGTGCTTCGATTGCTGCTTTAACTTATGACCCATGTAATAAATAACACCTACTTAATTAAGACAATCGTGCAGAGCGTCCTTGAAGATGAAGGAAATAACCATAAACGTACGACCTACTAATAGTTATCTTGAATGGCTAACTACAGGGGACCTCGAAGTGCCGAAATCGCTCCGTCTTCAACAATTCCAAGACGAAACGCTGAGATTTTTGGAGGAGTTGAGGTCGTATCGTATCATGTATAATAGGCGTTACGATATCGAGTTGCGGTAGCCAGCCCCGCTCTGAATTCCCATAGCCGCCAATGACGCGCACCCGAGATCTAATACCCGGCAATAATCTTAAATTTTAAAACAGAAACAGAAAAATCTAGAACAATCAGCTGCGATCACATCACGAGCAGACCAAGCTTAAGTAAGTTCTCGCAATAAACGCATCAGATGGCTTCGGGAACACATGCTGATACTGGCAACTTCATTCTTGCTACATGTTTTTCTCCAGTTTTACAGAAACGGTAGCCCGAATGCCCAGTTCATAAGTTACAGAGGTTTTTGTTGCAGAATGATCAAATAAAGCTGTACCCACCACTCTCTGAATTTGGTACAAGCGTATCCTTTGGAAGCGCGTGCTGAACTCGGCGGCTCGCTTAATGATCTTCTTCAACTCTGATATATCAATGTTTACCAGAGTAATGTTCTCGACGGCTTTTCTGCAATAGCAACAAGTCTGTTTAAGTCGAATTCAGAAACAATTACATATATTTATATTATGCATTATTGCTTCAGGTTCTCGACGCTGCCTTTCCACCAGAGGAAAAAAATCAGCCAATAAGATTATACTTCACTTTCCTAGACTCGCGGTAAAGGGTTAGCGGAGCTAAGTATTTGTACATACACAATAGCGAGAGATTTGTGCGAGGGATGCGGGCGAGGAACGTGTGCAAAACGATGTTTGTAGGAAACTAGAGCTACTGAAAGTATGACACTAATTGACACTGACACGTGGCCACCGCTTACCCCACCACACCGTACCCCGCCCGCGCATAGCTGAAAATTCCATAAGGCATCCTCTCGTCGCCTAGCTATCTCGCACATCTCTGGTGGAAAGGCAGCCTAAAGAACGAATAATGAACGTCGTTAACCTCCATTGAATTTTTGAAAGTTGAACTTACATTAAGGCAACCATTTCATTCATGATTTTCATCCTCAGGTCCCTGACTTTGGCACAGTAGATGCTGCTCTCGATCATGGAGGCTATATTGTCCGACGATTTGTCTATATCATCAAACAAATTTGCATTTAATATTCAACACGACACATCGAGCCCATTTACTGGTAGCTTGAAAGGTACCTGGCTGAGTGAAGAAATACCATTTCTCACAGATGTCGCTACGGAAACAAATCGTTAAAAACCAAAACAAAGGTTTGCAATAAGTGCCAAGAATTCGTAAGGTCCGCGGGTTAGTTGGCATGGTTTACTAGTAGACGCTCCAACTAGCACACAAACTCTAATAACAAGTCGTACAATAGCCAGTTAGAAGTTCTTAATAACAGCATAGGCTGCATTAATAAGTTCTACAGTAGATCGGCTACAGCGCCGCTGTACCCCCAAAATGAGCACCGATTTATACACTATGGGTCCTACAATGGCCGTAAATGTGTGTTAGTATGAAGATACAAATGAGAGAGAAAGAAGATGCGCGCGGTTAATGTACGAAGTAATACAAAGGCGCTATGCAAGCGGTTAATGTGCGCCTAAGTAATACAAGGAATTATGCGAGCGGTAATGTGCGCATAAGTATCCAAAATACGTTCTTGTAGCGCGACTATAGCGCGCGCATCCTATTTAGACGCGACTGTATCTCTGACTTAGAGTTTACGGCACTGTACTAGATGTACAGCAGCGATATTTTGGGGAAATAAACAAAACACATTTTATTGCTCATAAAGACCGTGACCTTGCTAACTGGAAAGTGATGGAGGATACAAATATTTCAAATAAAAAATGACAACACTGTATTCCGTTTAATACATGCAAAATAAAATTGCGAGTACCAGTTTATTGTAAATATATACAAACTTAAAATATAACAAATTTTAATATATAGGTACATATATATATTGACTAAAATTTTTACGCGCCTTCCACATGTGCAATTTTTTGTGTACAAGTAGAAGTACATTTAATTAGAGTGTGTGAAGTTTCAATTTAGTTTAAATAAGATATTTTAGCGTTGTTGGAAGTTTCTTTAGGGTCACGTGTGAGAAAGAGTGAAGTGGATTCGGTTTTTATACTTATTTAAGATATTAAAGAATATAGAAATAACCTAAAACAAGGGTTTTATTAAACACTGTAATGGCGTCTCTGTTACAGCAGCCTTCACAGTTTCACCGTTCAACCGATTTAGCCGCTAGTATTCACCGTTGTAGACCTTTCTATTTTACAATTGTGGTATTGACGTGCTATTGTAAGTTTTGAGAAGTATAACAGCCTAAGCGCTACTTTACAAATATATTTCTCTGCTGTAGATATAGATTCCAAAGGCTGTAGTAAAATCTATTTAACAGCTCCAGGCGTTACAAACATACTATATACCACCTAAAGCGTTTTCAACGAAGCTAATAACTCCATTCCAACACTTCTAACCAAAAGCCCTCTACAAGACCTCAAGGTGTTATAAAAGCTTTAGAAATGACTAATCTTTTTATCTCTGTTAGGAGTACATTCACCGTTATACGGCTATTGCAAGATTTGCGCCTGTTTAATTACTTTTGAATACGCTACTGAAGAACTTAAGTAGTATAGTACATCCCTGAAACAGTTAATATACAACTTTTAGGTTGTACAGAGGTAATATAAGCAGCTTGTGTGCATGTTGGGGTTGGTTCGAATCCATCATCCTTGATTTTGAAACAGACAGACTTGACATTAACTATGACCATATTAATGATACCCTCTCTAAGGTAGTTTATTGGTTTAATGCTAACAATTTATTGCTTAATGCCAAGAAGACAAAATGTGTTAAATTTGAATTACCTAACGTAAAATCGTCTAGTCCAAGCATATAAATAAACGGAGAAAAGTTAGACGTTGTTCATAAAGCAGTCTTCTTGGGAGTGACCTTAGATAGTAACTTCAATGGTTTCCACATTTATCTTCCTTGGCCAGCAGATTAAGCTCCGCTGCATACGCAGTCCGCAGAATTACGTGAATTTACCGATGTTAGTACTGCTAGACAAGTTTACTTTAGTTACTTCCATAATATAATGTCCTACGGGATTCTCATGTGGAGCAAAGCGGTAGATATTCAAACCATATTTGTATTGCAAAAACGAGCGTTTCGTTCTGTGTACCGTCTAGGTTCTCGGGTTTCTCTCGGAGAAAAGTTTAAGGAGACTGGTATCATGGACTGTGGCATCACAGTACATTTACTCAAATATTTTATATGCCCGTAAAAGTATACATAATTTCAATAAGAAAGAAGATATCCATAATATTAACCTTAGAGCTAAGTCCAAACTCATGGTACTACGATTTCGTTTAACCAAGGCAAACAACTCTATTATGGGGAACTGTAAACGTTTTTACAATAAGATTCCGGAGCATATATTAACTTTATCATTTCCTAAGTTTGAAAACTACATTAAAAATATTTTGATCGAAAAGTCATATTACAAAATTGAAGACTACGTGTTAGATAGAGATGTGTGGAAAGACGACACGGCTCCAGAATCCACACAAATTTGATTCAAAATGTATTCCATGGCATTTAAGTTTAATTGAAAAGAGCAATCCCTAGAGTTTCTTGCTCGTTCTTCTCAGGGAGGTCAGCGTAGTGAACGAGCAGTAGCCTAAATGTGACGTTTTCAAATGTAAATTTATTTTACCTATGGAATAAATGATCTTTGACTTTGATTCCAGGTGGATCGAAGGAATTTTTTGTAAGTGTTCGCAATTTGTATTAATAAAATTATAACAATCCAATTAGGGTTCTTCGGAGGGTCATATTCCACCACGCTGGCTCAATGAGGGCTGAACCTGACATTAAGGTTTCTTTAATGTAAATTGATAATTAGGGTCTGCCCATAAGCGAATGTCGCCGTGACAAGCGACAGAAGCATGTGAAATTGCGACACAAAATTGAACCGTATTTAAGATAGATTATAGATAGATAGATTACTGTGTGTAGCGCCGTCTTTCGCAAAAATTTGGCATCTGTGTAATAATTATATTATACAGGCGGTGTTACGATTAAATATTGGAAGACAAAAGTTATCTCGCCTGGCCAATGGACAGTAACCCACGGTTCCGTGATAATTTATGTCGGCCAGCTAAAGGTCAACTAAATTAATATGCAATTGCTTGCAGTAAAGTGCATTCAGAGTGTACTTATGACTCCCATTTGGAATGTTTAGAAGCAATATAGCCTGCTGACGGTGAAAGAAAAATCTTGATAAAACCGGCTAGTCGAAGAAGGTAACGTTGGTTTAGGGTTCTCATTATGTCGTAACGTTTTATTTATCGTTGGACGGCTGTCGCGTCTAGCCTGTTCCCATATCATGACTATCTGTCGTGACTGTGTCGTGGACGTTTATTTTATCGTTGAACGACTGTCGTGTCTAGCTGTTCCCACTAGATCGTGACGACAATTTATCGGTTCATGGCAGCCGCCTTGTCGTTTGCACGGCGGAATCGTTTGAAGCTGCGATTATCTATCGTCAAATTTTTATCGTCAGACGACTGTCGCTCTGGCTATGAGTGTGTTGCGTATGCGTATTATATTATTATTATTATAATGGGGACGCGTTCTTATTTGAAGAAAAACATAGTTTCATTTTCAAGGTTCACTATCATTACTGGCTCGGTGGGGAGAACCGTGGCTTTAAGATTCTCTTTAGAAGTCCAGCAGTGAGACGTTAGAGTTGGTGAAAATTTACTCGATTTAATGGTAGTGAATAACGTTGTAAACCAGTATGTTTATTATTAGTTGTAGATAAACATTTATCCAGTGTAATCTGATAGTACCTAATTATAAATGTAATCAAGGATGACACATTTTTAAGATACGTATAGTTAACTGCCTCCATGACCGAATGGTTACCATGTTGGTCTGCCACGAAGAGGTCCCGAATTCGATTCTTGGGCCAGGTGAAATATTTGTATAGCCTACATTTGTTTCTCTCCCGAATTTAAATGACACCCGGTCCCAGCGGTGGGATGTTATAGGTTGATATCAAAACCAGTATTACTTATCCAGTTCCATGACCAGTTAGACGAGTTCTGACTTCGGAAAGACACGCCCACTAACTAAAATGCGCCTAAGTGACAGATGGTCAAATATCCGATTTAAATAACAAAAAATAGAGCACAAAATTCTATTTTAAAAACGGTTAAAATTAGTTAACTTGTTATAATTATTAATACAAAGATCGAACACTCAGAAAAAACACTC